ATTATTGCGCCATTGCCTTCAGTCATTATTCTCCCATTCCGATGCCATTCCGATTCATTCCTTGCCCCCTTCCGGAAACCCGAAACTCCAATTCGTCTGACATACTTTAACATCTTTATATCTTCTGGACTCTTCAGTATATAAACCCACTTGTACTCTCTGATATTTCCTGAGTTTGAATATCAACTAAATCCCGTTCTCTCCTGATCTGCTTCACTCTGAACCCCCTCAGTCCTTAAGTTGACCTTAGGATTGATCTCCGACCCTCCGCTCCGAAATCAAGGAACAGAACTCGTACAGGGGCGCAGCACATAAGCTGAAGCCGAAGTTCCTTACAACTCCGACCCCCCTCAGGGATTCCCGCCAAACTCCACCTTCTCCGCACTCCGGACTATCTGGGAATTCCGGGATTGAACCCGGACTTGACAGGTTTATATACTGAAGAGTCCGGAAGATATAAAGATGTTAAAGTATGTCAGACGAATTGGAGTTTTGGGTTTCCGGAAGAAAGTAAGGAATGAATCAGAATGGTGTCAGAATGGTGGAATAATGACTGAAGGCAATGGTGCAATAATTGTGAGGCAAGGGGCAAGGGAATTATCGATAGGAACTGTAAATGTCCAGAAGTGTCAAAGGAAAGTGACATATGTCAAGAGATAGCCGAGATAGGAATGTGAAAGTCTGGGACAGGAATGCAGAAGTCCAGGACAGGAATGCGGAAGTCCAGGACGGGAAATATGGGGTTCGGAATGTCCGATGAAAGAGAAATCATCCAAGGTGAAGTCCAAGGCTCGGGATTTGTGATTTGATAATAGGGGGTCGGAATTGGGCCGGATGGGTTAGGGAAGTTTCGGGATGTGACAGGGGGCCGGAATTGGGCTGGATGGGTTAGGAGAGTTTTGGGATGTGACAGTCAGCATCATGGATGCCTTTGTTGTGAATCAGGCAAATTGCGAGTTCTATGGCAACCATTTCAAGCCAGACAATGTCTTGGCCCTCTCTGGGAGAGCCTTGCCAGGAGTTTGCTAGGCCTCAGAAGGCCCAAAGACCGTTCCAAAGGAGACCTACACCATGATTGGATGAAGCGTCCACCCAAATGCCATAGTCACGTGTGGGTGGTCTGGGAAGAAGCAAAAGAGGGGGATGTGCTTCCTGGAGAGTGTGGAGCCACCATTTGAGGTCGGAGATTACAGAGGGATGCATGTACCATGGGACGTACTCATTGGGGAAGTCTGCTAACCATGAGTACAGATTTGCTAAGTATGACTGCCCTTGTGGGTAGACAAAGGTAGAGTGTTGGAGCTAACCAGTGACACTCTCATCTTCCTTCTTCGGAACTCGCTGATGTTCAAAGGAAGAGAGGAACGTTGATAGACATACAATGTATTTGCGTTTCTTGGGTGCTGTGAGGATAATGGACTTGAGAGGGATGTCCCATAGTGACAAAGTCCGGGTTCAATCCCGGAATTCCTGGATAAATCCAGAGGGCATGGAATGGCGGAGTCAGTCAGGAATCCCTGAGGGGAGTCAGAGGGGCAAGGAACTTCAGCTTCAGCTTATGTGCTGTGCCCTTGTATGAGTTCTGTTCCTTAATTTCAGGGTAGAGGGTCGGAGGACAATCCTAAGGTCAACTTAAGGACTGAAGTAGGTTTCAGAGTGAAGTGGAAACTTTGCAGGAGAGAACGGGATTTAGTTGATATTTGAACTAAGGAAAAATATCAGAGAGTACAAGCGGATTTATATACTGAAGAGTCCGGAACATATAAAGGTGTTAAAGTATGTCAGACAAATCGGAGTTTCGGGTTTC